GCCAAGGAATGCAAAGTAGCTCCTTTACCTGAAATTTAAGCAGGAAGTTTTCCTGTACAGGCAAGAGTCTGGAAAGAAAACGTTGGAGCAGAGATTAGGAGACAGAGCGGAGGCACCCGGGGCAGGGAGTGGGGGATGCGGGAGCGGAGTCTGTAGTTGAGGAAACGCTCTCTGAGCTCTTCATAATCTGGAGTTATCGGAAAGCTCTAAAAAGAGGGAGACAGACACGTCGAGGTGTGGACCTTCACGGTTCTACCAAGCTTTGTTTTAAGCTTCGTGACACCTGACCTGTCACTTTTCCCACTGAAGGATCTGACAGGGAGAGAAGCACAGGAGTGACCTGCAGGGGTCTTGTTAAAAGCGTCAGCGGGGGTGAGGGCAGGCACGTACCGGGACATCTCCGAGAGGCCCAGTTTGCCATCCCCATTCAAGTCGAACATCCGCAGCTGTTGGGGACAGAAAGAGGCGTTTGGTTATTTGTTTTGACCTTCCCTGCTGTGGGACCTTGCCCGCCATCCCCTTCTGCGGGAGGGAAAAAAGATGGGTGGAACATGCTTGTGCCTCCTCTGAGGGCACCTGGAGGCCAGGGACCAACACGGTCTCCATCGGTCCTTGGGACGGCAGGGACTCAGCCACTGCTCCTCTCCCCTGTCCTCAGGGAGAAGGCCACAGCGGAGAGCGGGCCAGCACCGAAGGCCCACCCTTTCCGAGTTTATCCTCTCCCCGTGCTGCGGAGGTTGTCACAGAAACAGCTACTCCTGGTCTCAGTGAGTGCCTCAGTGAGTACCTGTGGGGCCATCGACCAGCATCCCTTTTGCCAGCTGCCACCAAGAGTCACTTCACCTAGGCCCGAAGAATCAACCAACAAAAAACCCCCAGCAAACCAGAATCCCACTGGCTTGGGGTCCCACGTCCTGCGCCCCTGGGCAGGGAGGGACGCGTCTGTCCACTCACTATGGTTTGGGTGTACTCTTGGAGCTTAGGTTCATCATACGGCCGGTTCGCCTTCTTCAGCAGGTCAGACAGGAATCCCTGGAACACAAACGGCCCTTCAGAGCTCCCAACTCAGTCGGTCCTCCCCTCACTCACTCAGCCATTCACGCCATTTATATAAGTTTCATCCCTCATAATTCCCTAAGCCCCTAATGCGTGTGGAGTGATCTTGAAGGCTCGAGGTGGCTCCTGGATGCAACCTCCCCCCATAGGAAAGGTGGCAGAAACTGGCCTTGGCTCCCCCGAGCAGCCAGGACGCAGTGGGGGTCACTGGTTCCAGAGGAAGAGAAGGCCACTCTGCCGGGACTGACTCGGGGAGGTCTGTCCTGGGCACTGCGTGCGGAGGAGTGCGGTTGGGTTGAATTCTGTGGCCCTACAGCTCCAAGTTACTGACATCGCACGGCTGCCCTGAGCCAAGTCTGAGTCTTCCTAAACTGACCAAAACCCACATTCCTCACCCAAGGTCTCCCACTGCCCCAGGTTCCTCAAACGCACCGCCACCGTGCCCCGCCCCCATTCTCCTCACTCGCCACCCCCTCCCCGAGGCCCATCCTACCTTGAGCTCGTTGGCTTCAATGTAGCCGCTTCTGTCTGTGTCATACTTCCGCCAGGCCTGCAGTGGGAACGCCAGCCTGTTCACCAAGTAAGCCTACCAACATGTGTCAGCCCCCTCCATTTCCCTTGACCGGACCGGGCAGGTCTTGATATTCAAGACTATTACAACGGGATGGAGACATGGAGATGGTTTAGCCCAGGCCTTTCTACGTCTCAGATGAAGAAAAAAGCATCTTGGCCAAGGTCACAAAGAGAAGAAAAAAGGCTGGAACGAGGTCTCTCCACTCTAACGGGTTACAGGCCTGGGTCTCTTTTTGGATCATTCTGTAACCAGGGTTGCCGTTTCTAAGGTTACCAGCTTCTCCCAGGGCTAGCACTAGGATCTGGTGGGTCTGAGTTTTGCTGTGAGTTTATAGGGAATCCTTTTACTGCTCTAGAAGCTTCTCATTCTCTGGGGGGGTGGGGAGGTGTGGAGCTGGGGACAAGGGTAAGAACCTCTGGAAGGGAGGAAAACAGGCTTTGGTTATTCTTTACTGTGCTCTGTCCTCCATCCCTCTATCATGATGCATTTGGCAGCCATGTCTGAAGGTAGAACAGAACCGTTAGTGTAATCAGTTTGTGTTGACTATAACAAGGCTACTCACACACCTTTATAATAGAAAGCATCACATTTTTCTTTCCTTTCTTTTAGGAAACCACCCCTCTCCTATGCTCAGTCCATATGGTTCAAGAGGGATTGGCGCAGTCTTCAGAGGTAAGGAGGTGACTTAGGTCTGGGTAATTGGTCCCTCCCTGTCCCATACTGGTTCTGGGCTCTGATCTGAGTCCCAATTATTCGATGCATGCGTTTGGCCCCCGCGAGGAACCAGGGCACTGCCTGCTGATCACAGCTTCTGGGAAGCAAACAGAAACAGAGCCTCCACAGGAGACATGGGCCTGACCACCTCCTTCCTCTGCGCTGCCATCTGAGCAGAAGCAGACGCTATACAGGAGAAACGCAGAAATATAGCTGTAGTGGTTTTAACATGTTCACACATTCTTCACCTCCCTTCCAAAGGCGGAGCCTAATTCCCCTCTCCTGGAATGTGGGCTGGACTTAGTGACTCAGTTCCAGTGAATAGAGGGTGGCAGATATGACAGTGTGTGACTTCCAAGACTAAGCCATAAAGGCATTCAGGCTTCCTTCTTGTTCTCTCCCTTGGATCACTCACTCTTGAGGAAGCCAGCTTCCATGTTGTAAGGACATTCGAGCAGCCCTATCGAAAGTCTCACATAGTCAAGAACTGACGGCTCCTGTAACATCCCTGTGAGTACGCCACCTTGGAGGTGTATCTTTTGGCTCCGGTTGAACCTTCAGATGAGCACAGCCCAGCTGACATCTTGACCTCAACCTCATGAGAGACTCTGAGCCAGAACCATTTGGCTAAGCCGCTCCCAAATTCCTGACCACAGAAACTGTGAGATAATAAATGTTTGTTGCCTTAAGCTGCTAAATTCTAGGGGGTAATTTGTTACGCAGCAATAGGTAACCAATACGTGGCCCTGAGAAAATGTGGTCCTGTATACAAATGCCCCGAAACCCCAGCCTTCTACCCAAGCCATCTGGTGGAAAGCGGGGAATACCATGCTGGGGATAGGGTGGGGGAGGGGGCTGCCCTTATCTATGACAGAAGGGCCCAGAAACCCTGTTTTCCAAATCTTTGGCCTGTTTTTGTGCCTGATCATATATTTTGGATTTTCTTTCTTTGATTTTTCTTCCCTCTCCCTCAGCTCTAAACTACACACCTAGATAGCAGCAACTCTTGAGTTTCTGAGAGTTAGCAAACACTAATTCTTTTCCCAAATTTGATCTCCTGCCTCCCCCACTTCTCCATACCGTGCCCCTCCTTTTATGGTCAGAAGTGTGAGAGTTTATAGATATTTTAGGATCTTCCTTCCTGTCTGTGTCATACTTCTGCCAGGCCTGCAGTGGGAACGCCATACCAATAAACAAGACTGTATAATTCTTATGGTATAGTAGTGGCTCAAGAAATTTGATCCTGATTTTTTAAAAAGTTACGAGACAGGAGCAAGAGCCAACAAAAGGGCTGGTTTTTCCACAGACAATTCAGGTAGATGGTATTTGATTAAGGGAGTGTACTGTCTCTAGGGGGAAAAAAAAAAATCCATCAGAATATTCCTTCCCATGCCCAGAAAGCCTGCTTTTGAGAAAGTACTAAGAAATAAGTGCAGGTTTTCAAACATGACTTCACTGACCACCAGCATGCATTTAGTGCATTAGAATTGAGCTCATCTAGGTTGAGTTTTGACTGGGGAAAAAAGGCAGACACCCCCTAGATTGCCTAAAAGGAGGACAACCTGAAGGGACCCCAGTCTTTGCACAGAGCAAAGCATCCGGCCACTTTGGGAGTGAGATCATCCCAGCAGGCCTGACCTCCCTCTCTCCCTCTCCCCCTCCCTCCCCGGGTCGCCCCCCACCTCCATGCTCCCACACTCACTTCTCTGCCCCTCCAGTACTTTGTGCTCATCCATTGGTGGGCTATTATTCTCTTCCCCTTCAAGGAAAAGAGTTCAAGAGACCTGGGCTTTGTGAAATCTCAAAGAAATCCTGAGGTATCACTAAAATTAGAAATTAAAATGTTGTTCCGAGCAGTGGGATGGGAGCTATCTGACAGCTCAAGCCTCTCAGGGCTACCGAGGGACCATTTTATGTTTCTAGCTGATAAAAATGGAACAAATGGACAACTCAGGAGGGGATAGTACTGGTGCATGGTAGGGTCCCAGGAAACTTGGGGGGAGGCGTCGGCTCAGCAGTTATGCTGGCACTTAAAGAATCAAGGCAGGTAAGAATATGGAATCATGTCAACTACACAGAAAGCACTAGTTTTGAGAGAGAGGGAC